TGGTTCACGCCTGTAATCCCAGCATTTTGGGAGGCCCAGGTGGGTGGTTCACCTGAGATCAGGAGTTCGAGACCAGCCTGGCCAACGTGGTGAAACCCCCTCTCTACTGAAAATACAAAATATTAGCCGGGCATGGTGGTGCACACCTGTAGTCCCAGCTACTCTGGAGGCTGAGGCACGAGAATCGCCTGAACCCCAGAGGCAGAGGTTGCAGTGAGCCAAGATTGTGCCACTGCACTCCAGCCTGGGTGAGTTAAGACTTCGTCTGAGAAAAAAAAGTAATTGGTTACTAATAATAAAGTACTAAAGTATAATCAAAGATTTACTTTGAGATACAATTTAAAGCAGATTCATTGTTCCAAGATAGCATAATTCTCACATATCTTGCATTTTAATTTGCTTTTAGAGTGAGTGCTCATTCCTCTAGGTAACCAAGGGGAAGTCATCCATTGAGTGGGTAGTGAAAAAGGATTGAGAACCATGAAACCAGATAATGCTTTTGTAGTTATAATACTGTATTTCCTTGATTATAAGAGATCATTGTTTATAAGATGCACATCAATTTAACAGCTTTTCTGAGGAAAAATACACTTCTGCAGTATTTCCTTTGACTTTGACTATCAGACATATCTAACTTCAAAAATAAATGTAGTTGGGGAGGGAAAATGTACTTCTTAAACTTGAGGAAATGTAGTATTAAATTTATATTTCATATTCTTCAGACTTTTGGGGAAATGAAGTGAGGACAACTGAAATAGGAGAATAGATCAGTTATTCTGCTTCTAATTTCACAGGTAAATCCATCAGATAGGTATCATCTCATGCCCATAATCACCCCTGCCTACCCACAACAGAATTCTACGTATAATGTGTCCACATCAACTCGAACAGTAATGGTAGAAGAATTTAAACAAGGTAAACATGTGGCCCTGTTGCCCTTTACATATTCCCACAAGTTTTAGGTTGGCAGTTTTTATTCTCTGTTGCAGCTATGGATTGACAGTTAGAGTTATACCTATTCTTTCTAAATTAGAAACTCTTTCAAGTATGGTTATTTTGTGTTTTAGTAATGAGTTTTCAAAAGTATATGATAATATTAAGGCCAAAAATGGAGCTAGCCCAATCTGGTTGAACCTAATTTTTTGTGTTCTAAGAAACAACATAATATATGTTTGTATTTTGTTACTCAAGAATTGGGTGGGCTGGGCGTGGTGGCTCACGCCTATAATCCCAGCACTTTGGGAGGCTGAGGCGAGCAGATCACCCGAGGTCAGGAGTTTAAGACCAGCCTAGCCAACATGGTGAAACCCTGTCTCTACTAAAAATACGAAAATTAGCCGACATGGTGGTGGGCACCTGTAATTCCAGCTACTCAGGAGGCTGAGGCAGGAGAATCGCTTGAACCTGGGAGGTAGAGGTTGCAGTGAGCCAAGATAGAGCCACCACACTCCAGCCTGGGTGACAGAGTGAGACTCTGTCTCAAAAAAAGAAAAAAAATAATAATAATTTGGTGTGGTGGAGTTTGAGATTTTGCAGTAGTAGGGTGATTTAAGAGCTGGTCCCTTTTCAAAATCCTTTTTTTTTTTTTTTTTTTTTTAATTTAGGTCTTGCAGTCACAGATGAAATTCTCCAAGGCAAATCAGATTGGTCCAAACTACTTGAGCCACCAAATTTCTTTCAAAAGTATAGGTATGTGAAATTTTGTATTTTGTATGTATGTGATTTTTTTTTTAAGAAGAATGTTAAACATAGTTAATATATGGTAGGTGACAGCTCTTTTATTTCTTAAGCAAGACAGAATAGATGAACAAAAATCCTAAGAGATAAGAGTGTTTCTTTATTCTAGTAGTATCTAATCCAGTATTAGTGACTTTTTAGAGTGAATTGTTTTTTACTTGTGGGACCTAGAATTAATTTTGTGAAAATCAGAGCACATTTAATTTTCATAAACTGTGTGCCTTTATTAGCTCATTTGTTCAATGAGAGGGAGGGAGAAAAGGGGATGATTAAAAAGCAGGCCGTAACAATTTTTCTGGCTTTTTTTTCTGATTGTTGCTGAAAATTCTTCAGACATTATATAGTATTGACTGCCAGCGCATCAACAGAAGAAAACCATCTAGAGTGGTAAGACTTCTATTTCAAGTTTTCTACCTACTGTGTGGTGATAGTAACTTATTTATATGGTGCTTTACCATTTATAAAGTACTTTCTTGCTTGATTTTCAAAATTATTATATCTTTTTTTTTTCTGAGACAGAGTCTCGGTTGTCCAGGCTGGAGTGCAGTGTCGCGATCTCAGTTTTGCCATGTTAGTCAGGCTGGTCTCGAGCTCCTGACCTCAGGTGATCTGCCCACCTCAGCCTCCCAAAGTGCTGGGATTATAGGCCTTAGCCACCTCTCCGGGCCTTTTTTTTTCTTTTTTTCTTCTTTTTTTTTTGAGAAGGAGTCTCCCTCTGTCACCCAGACTGGAGTGTAGTGGCATAATCTCGGCTCACTGCAACGTCCGCCTCCTGGGTTCAAGTGATCCTCCTGCCTTAGCCTCCTGAGTAGCTGGGACTGCAGGTGCGCACTACCATGCCCTGTGCCTAATTTTGTATTTTTAGTAGAGACGGGGTTTCACCGTGTTGGCCAGGCTGGTCTCGAACTCCTGACCTCAAGTGATCCACCTACCTCAGCCTTCCAAAGTGCTGGGATTACAAGCATGAGCCACTGCACCTGGCCTGATTTTTTTTTTTTTGAAATGGAGTCTTGCTCTGTTGCCCCAGCTGGAGTGCAATGGCGTGATCTCAGCTCACTGCAGCCTCCACCTCCCAGGTTCAAGTGATTCTCCTGCCTCAGCCTCCCAAGTGGCTGGGATTACAGGCACCCACCACCACAGCCCAGCTAATTTTTTTTGTATTTTTAGTGAAGATGGGTTTTTGCCATGTTGGCCAAAACTGGTTTTAAATTCCTGACCTCAGGCTATCTGCCCGCTCTTGCCTCCCAAAGTGCTGGGATTACAGATGTGAGCCACAGCACCCAGCCTGAAATTTTTTAATGAACATGTAAAGCTTCATAGTTAATATACTGTTTGGTTTACTTGAGTGTAACTTTCAAATTTAAAGTGGATGTAAGATAAATTGTGTTGTTTATTTTAGGGTTGGATTAGTAGAATCTAAAATCCGTGTACTTGTTGGAAACTTAGAACGGAATGAATTTATTACTCTTGCCCATGTGAATCCCCAGTCATTCCCAGGGAATAAGGAACATCATAAAGAGTAAGTTAATTGTTTTTTAATACTATGTTTCTTAAATAATGTTATTTGGCATATGCATCATTTCAGAGTAATTATGAGATTTTTGTTTAACAGGCATTGATGGGAGTATGACACATTATATATTTGAGTTTGAGTGTCTAGGCATTAAAAATAAGTACGCAACTACTTTGGTAGCCCACAAACCCCAGCAAAACACCATCACAATATTTGGAGCATCTTTAAGAATATATTTAGTAAGTCATTTTCATAGCCACTTAATCCTTCTTAGAACAACAGGGGATAACTTACCAGTTCTGGATGTCACTTTTAAGAATCTGGCCAGACCACTGAAATCTGTATTTGTGAGATAGAGACATAGAGACCAAGTTTTAATTATGAAATAGCATCTGTAAAATTGTAAAATAATAATAATTAATGGAAATTCTTAAATTTTACTTTATAGCAACAATTACGTATCAATGTGGTTCCTTGGGATAATTTTTCGGAGAGTAGAAAATGCAGAAAGTGTCAACATAGACTTGACATATGATATACAGTCATTTACTGATACAGGTAAGACTTCATCATCATAGAGCTGTGATTCTCAAACCTGGCTGTTACTCAGTGTCATCTGCCTACGATCTGGCTGGCTGTACTTATTAAAGTTCCACAATTGGTTAAGCAAACATGGCATATCCATACTGCTGTTAAAACAGGAAAGGAGCCGGGTGCGGTGGCTCACGCCTGTAATCCCAGCACTTTGGGAGGCAGAGGTGGGCAGATTACCTGAGGTCAGGAGTTCGAGACCAGCCTGGCTAATATGGTGAAACCCTGTCTCTACTAAAAATACAAAGTTAGTGGGGTGCGGTGGTGGATGCCAGCTGCTTGGGAGGCTGAGGCAGGAAAATTGCGTGAACCTGGGAGGAGGAGGTTGCAGTGAGCTGAGATCTCCCCACTGCACTCCAGCCTGGCCCACAGAGTGAGACTGTCTCCAAAAAAAAAAAAAAAAGCATTATGAAGCAATTTCCAAGGTATATTAAGTGGGGGGTAAAATTACAGAACACTGTGTACACTGTGCTATTTATATAAAAAGAAAAGATAAATACACATTTGCTTATAAATGCATAGAATATCTCTGGAAGGATACTTAGTTCAAAAAAAATGGCAAGACTGGTTGCTTCTAGGTCAGGGTGCAGGATAAGGAGACATCACTGAATACTCTTCAACGCTTTGAGTTTTGTAGCATGTGAATGTTATTTGTTTTATTTTATTTTATGAAATAAAATAAAAATCAACCCATAAAAATCAAGTCTTTATTTTTTGAGACGGAGTCTCACTCTGTCACCCAGGCCGGACTGCAGTGGTGCGATTTCAGCTCACTGCAACCTCCTCCTCTGGGGTTCAAGTAATTCTCATGCCCCAGCCTCCCGAGTAGCTGGACTTAACGGGTACGTACTACCAGGCCTGGCTAATTTTGTATTTTTAGTAGAGACAGAGTTTCACCATGTTGGCCAGGCTGGTCTCGAACACCTGACCTCAACTGATCCACCTGCCTCAGCCTCCCAAAAGTGCTGGGATTATAGGCGTGAGCCACCTCGCCTGGCTGAATGTTATCTGTTTTAAAACACAAAGAAAGGAAAGCTCTTTGTATGTACAACCAGGGTTTGTGATCACAATAATAAACTCTTTTATAAGCAATCTGGAATAAAAACATTTGCCATAAATTTTTAATAAAGATGACTTGATTTTTGCCAGGCGCGGTGGCTCACAAGCGCCTGTAATGTTAATACTTTGGGAGACTGGGATTGGTGAATCTCTTGAACTCAAGAGTTTGAGACCAATCTGGGCAACATGGTGAAACCCCATCTCTACAAAAGATACAAAAAAAAGTTTGTCAGGTATTGTGCCTATGGTCCCAGCTATCTGGGAGGCTGAGGTGAGAGAATTGCTTGAACCCAGAAGGTCAAGGCTGCAGTGAGCTGAGATTGCGCCATTGCTCTCCAGCCTGGGTGACAAAGTGAGACCCTGTCTCAAAAAATAAAAACTTGATTTTTATGGGTTTTTTGTTTGTTTGTTTTAAATAGAGGCAGGATTTTGCCATGTTGCCCAGGCTGGTCTCGAACTCCTAGGCTCAAGCAATTTGCCCATCTTGGCCTCTTCAAGTGCTGGGATTACAGATGTCAGCCACTGCATCTGGCCAGACTTTTATGTTTTTGATATGATATAAATATCAGTAAGTACAGAATTGCTGAATATATTTCAGGATCAGTGAAAAGTATGTCTTTCATATCCAGCCCTCTCTTCACAACTCTGGAATATCTTAATGTATCTGTTATAAATTTGGGGTTATTTATCTTGAAGAATCTGGAATACATTCATACAATTAAAAGTATTGGTTTGGCTCATCTGGGTTTTCTGAATTCTTTTGAAAGAGCCCTCATATTTATCATGAAAATGCAGATTCCTGGCTGGGCGCAGGGACTGATGCGTGTAATCCCAGCACTTTGGGAGGCCAAGGCAGGCGGATCACCTGAGGTCAGGAGTTCGAGACCAGCCTGGCCAACATGGTGAAACCCCATCTGTACTAAATATACAAAAATAAGCCAGGTGTGGTGGTGGGCGCCTGTAATCCCAGCTATTCCAGAGGCTAAGGCAGAAGAATCACTTGAACCTGGGAAGCAGAGGTTGCAGTCAGCTGAGATCTCACCATTGCACTCCAGCCTGGGCAACAAGAGCGAGACTCCGTCTCAGAAAAAAGAAAATGCAGATTCCTGTGTTTCACCTTAGAACCACTAAATCATACTCTGGGGAGGGAGCCAGAGAATCTGCAACTTGAACAAGTGTTCTTGGTAACTCTTTTATAAGCAATCTGGAATAAAAACATTCGCCATAAATTTTTCCATTCTAATTTGGGCTTACATTTTTTAAAAAGAAGATTGGGACATAGTTTATTATAAATTTATAAGATACTATTTTTCAGATGAAGAAACTTGAGGCCCCAAGAGATTAAATAATTTACCACATCTCACAGTACTTGCTGTGTAAAACAAGCCTCCCATCCCTGTCTTCAGTGTCTCATTGAGTATATTTACAATTAAAACATACTAAGAAATTTGTGTGGTAGTTAATAAAACCTGTTTTCTCTTTGGGTATATTTACAATTAAAACATTTTAAGAAATTTGTGTGTTAATAAAACCCATTTTCTTATAAGGTGTGAAAAGCACTAGAATGGGAATCTAGGTCTGTTTAGCCTCCTTTTCTCAACTGTACAATAAGGATGTATTTGTAAGATGGTTCCTGAAGTCTGTCATTCTATGGTTGGTGTGGTAGCTGCAGTAGTAAATTCTCATGGAGGAGGAGGACAGCTTGAATTGCATCTTGGATATTTAACCTAAGAATTAGCTTAGAAGGCCAGGTGCAGTGGCTCACACCTGTAATCCCAGCACTTTGGGAGGCCAAAGCGGGTGGATCACTTGAGGTCAGGAGTTTGAGAACAGCCTGGCCAACATAGTGAAATCCTGTCTCTACAAAAAATCCAAAAAGTAGCTGGGTGTGGTGGCATGCACCTCTAGTCCTAGCTACTGGGGAGGCTGAGGCAGGAGAATAACTTGAACCCAGGAGGCAGAGGATGCAGTGAGTTAAGATTGTGCTACTACACTCAAGCCTGGGTGACAGAGTGAGACTCTGTGTCAAAAAATAAAAAAAGAATTAGCTTAGACTTGGGCAAGTAATTATAAGGAGAGATTGCCTTTTGGGAAAATATCAGAAAATAAAATCTGGAAAATACCTTTTTTTAAATATACTTATTCTGTTAATAAGGTTTGATTATGAGAAAGTCTTAGAAGGTAGACATGAAAAAACTAATGGATTCATGGCTAGGTGCAGTGGCTTACGCCTGTAATCCCAGCACTTTTGGAGGCCGAGGTGGGCGGATCACCTGAAGTCGGGAATTCTAGACCAGCCTGACCAACATGGAGAAACCCTGTCTCTATGAAAAATCCAAAAAGTTAGCTGGGCGTGGTGGCGTATGCCTGTAATCCCAGCTACTCGGGAGGCTGAGGCAGGAGAATCGCTTGAACCCAGGAGGCAGAGGTTGTGGTGAGCCGAGATTGCGCCATTGCACTCCAGCCCAGGCAACAAGAGCAAAACTCCATCTCAAAAAAAGAAAAACTAGTGGATTCATGAATAGGATTGCGATGTGATGGAAATGTATTAAAAATACTTGTTTTGTGAGAGGGTTGTGCGTGGGTGGCTGGTGGTGATAGCAGGGTAAAGGTATATGCATTTCAGAAAAATTAGGCAGAACTCTTGGTTCAGAAAGAAGTTTCCCATTTAACATATTAACATTGTTACAGTATACAGACAGGCAAACAATATAAATATGCTAAAGGAGGGAATGAAAATTGAAGCAACTCATGTAAAGAAAAAACAACTTCACCACTACCTTCCTGCAGAAATTCTTCAAAAGAAGAAAAAGGTGAGTTTGAGTAGTTTGAGTTTGTCATCTTAACCCTCTAGTATGACTTTACTCAGACAAATGATCTAGGACCAAATTTGCATTCTTAACAGCTCCTAAACCTATTGAGAAAAATAAGGAAGATATAGGCAGTTCAATCTAGGACTAAAATCTCATTTTCATTAATCACAAGAGATAATTTGCTTAAGTGACCGTTAGAATTGAAACCAGTCTTTATATTCTCATTTGCATTTTGAAATCCTAAAATCATTCCCTTCTTTCAGCAAAGTCTCTCTGATGTCAGTCGAAGCTCGAGCGGACTTCAGTCCAAAAGATCATCTCTGGATAGCAGTTGTCTGGATAGCTCCAGAGACACTGATAATGGAACACCTTTTAATTCTCCAGCGTCCAAGTCTGATAGCCCGTCTGTAGGAGAAACAGAAAGGTCTGTCTTTATTTCAAATGTGTCCTTTTGGTTTTCTGTTCAGTTTATTTGAAGGTAATCTGAACTTTTCTATACCCCTGCTACTGCCTTTTTAAATTGTTAGAATATTTTATTTTACAGGCTGCTGGTCAATTTCTTGTTTAAAAATAACTCGCGGTAATCCTGTGGGAGATGGTATAGGCTTATGAGCATATGGGACTAGATAGCTACACAGAAACGTACACATTTTTTGCTTAAATTTTTTTCTTCTTACTGGCTCCTCTGCCTTTTTCCCCCCTTTTATTTCAATGAAATGTTAAAGTACAGGCCTGAGCCAACAGTTGTGATCAGGCATGCTGGCTGAGGCCTGTAATCCTAGCACTTTGAGAGGTTAAGGCAGGCGGATTGCTGGAGCCCAGGAGTTCCAAGACCAGCCGGGACACCATGGCGAAACCCTGTCTATACAAAAAAATACAAAAATTAATTGGCCAGGCACAGTGGCTCACGCCTGTAATCCCAACACTTTGGGAGGCTGAGGCGGGCAGATCACCTAAGGTCAGGAGTTTGAGACCAGCCTGGCCAACATGGCAGAACCACATCTCTACTAAAAATACAAAAATTAGCAGGGTGTGGTGGCATGTGCCTGTAATCCCAGCTACTTGGGAGGCTGAGGCAGGAGAATCGCTTGAGCCCAAGAGGTGGAGGTTGCAGTGAGCCGAGATCGTGCCATTGCACTCCAGCCTGGGCAACAAGAGCGAGACTCCGTCTCAAACAAAACAAAAACAAACAACTAGCTTGGCGTGGTAGTACACACCTGTAGTCCCAGCTACTCGGGAGGCCAAGGTGGGAGAATTGCTTGAGCCCGGAAGGTTGAGGCTGCATTGAGCCATGTGTTCATGCCACTGCACTCCAGCCTAGGCGACAGAACAATACCATGTCTAAAAAAAAAAAAAGACGGCAGTGGTAAATGTTGCAAAAAAAGAGTGTTTTAAATAACTAATGGGGCCAGGCATGGTGGGTCACATCTATAATTTCAGCACTTTGGGAGGTTGAGGCAGGAGGATTGCTTTAGCCTCAGGAGTTCAAGACCAGCCTGGGCAACATAGTGAGATCCTGTCTCCACAAAAATGAAAATTTAAAAAATTAGCCAGACATGATGGCACACACCTATATTGCTAGCTACCTGGGAGGCTGAGGTGGCAGAGTTACTTGAGTCCAGGAGTTTGAGGCTGCAGTGAGCTGTGATTGTGCCACTGCACTCCAACTTGGGCAGTAGAGTGAGGCCTTTCCTCAAAAAAGGAGAAAAAAAGTAATATTTAAATCATTTATTGATGATAATTTAACACTTTCATTAGGAATAGTGCTGAGCCTGCTGCTGTAATTGTGGAGAAGCCACTGAGTGTACCACCAGCCCAAGGACTTTCCATTCCGGTCATTGGTGCAAGTAGGTATCTAAACTTGTATATATTAATAATTCTGTTTACAAAAAATTAGCCAGGCATGGTGGCACACGCCTGTAGTCCTAGCTACTTGGGAGGCTAAGGTGGGAGGATCACCTGAGCCTAGTAAGTCGAGGCTGCAGTGAGCCGTGATCAAGCCACTGCAGTGCAGCCTGGGTGATGGGAATGAGAGATCCTGTCTCAAGAAGAAAAAAAAAAATTACATAAATGTTTAATTATTAAAATCCTTTTTTTCATTTTCAGAAGTTGACTCTACAGTAAAAGCTGTATCACCCCCCGCTGTGTGTACCATTCCTACCGTAGTAGGACGAAATGTCATTCCTAGAATCACAACACCTCACAACCCTGCCCAGGGACAACCGCATCTGAATGGAATGTCAAATATAACTAAGACTGTTACACCCAAGAGAGCCCATTCCCCATCCATAGATGGAACTCCTAAGAGGTTGAAAGACATAGAAAAGGTAAAGTTACAACTTTCGTGGTGATTCAGTAGTTGATATTTTTTATAGTTAATACTAAAGAAACAATTTTCCATAGCTGTTGGTGTTCTGTTAGGAGTTGGCTGAAAAGAATATTTACCCAAATATTAAAGGAACAATATTAATTGCTCATCCTAAATTGAAATTACTAATGTGTCTGAAAATTTGAATGATTGGTCTGAGTTTCTCTTTGACTTACAGAAGTCGTCATTACTGATAACAAAATCTCATTTCTTGTGTGTTGATATGACCTGCTTCCAGTAGGTGGTAGTAAAACTATATTTGTTAGAATCTGAATTGATTTAACCAAAAAGATGACCCAAACTGTAGAAATTAACGGTGGCAGTGGAATTCAATCTAATTTAAATTATCTTCTCTTACCAACCCATATTTATAGTAATTTTTATAATAGCGTAACTGATAATTAGTCTTCCAGTTTATATAGATTTGTATGGTTTTTTGTAGGTACATAATAGCAATTTATTTCAATGTTTATATTTTAGTTTATTCGACTTGAATCAACATTTAAGGAACCCCGTGCTGCTGAAGAAAGAAAAAGAAAATCAGTGGTAAATATATTAATAGTGTGCTTCAGAATATTTACTGTAAAGTGCCATGTATCGCCGGGCGCGGTGGCTCAAGCCTGTAATCCCAGCACTTTGGGAGGCCGAGGCGGGTGGATCACGAGGTCAGGAGATCAAGACCATCCTGGCAAACATGGTGAAACCCCGTCTCTACTAAAAATACAAAAAATTAGCCGGGCGTGGTGGCGGGCGCCTGTAGTCCCAGCTACTCGGGAGGCTGAGGCAGGAGAATGGCGTGAATCCGGGAGGCGGAGTTTGCAGTGAGCTGAGATCCGGCCCCTGCACTCCAGCCTGGGGGACAGAGCGAGACTCCGTCTCAAAAAAAAAAAAAAAAAAAGTACCATGTTAGAAAGTAGGTCAGATTAGATCTACTATCAGATTTTAGTTAGGTTTTATTTTAATTAGAAATAAGTGTTTGCATATAGGAAAGTTAGTTTTCACTTGTGTTGATTCTTCTGTTTTTAGGATGCCATAGGAGGAGAATCTATGCCTATTCCAACTATTGATACATCACGCAAAAAGGTAACAAAATAGTCTTGTTCATAGGTACAGTACATAGGTAAAAACTCATAGGTAATCTACAAGTACAAAAGGCTTATCAAGAGCCTAGCACTGGGAAAAAGTAAGATTTTGTCCCTGTCCTCAAGGACTAGCAGTATAGTTGGGGTTGGATATATAGCAAAGTATATAGTTGTGAATGTAGGTACCTCAGAAGTCTAAAAAAGAGTCAGTAGTTTAAGACAACTTTATTATCTATTTAGATTATGTTCACCCTTTGTTTTTTATCTTTAAAGAAGCAGTTGGATGCTCAGCACATTAATTTCTTACCAAGCACCTGGAGGTATATCTCTGTTGTGTACTATTGCTTACTGTCAAAAGATAGGTTTGATAATTAGGAACCATATGTGTTAATATTTTAGAGGAACCAAATGTAGTGGTATATATAGTAAGTACCTTTAAAATATGAGCTAAACGCCCCTGAATTGTAATTTAAATGTTTATTATTTGAAGAATTACTTTTATAGCTAACAATATGTAGTATTAAGTGTGGTATGCTAAAAAGCAAGTACTCAAAAACCAGCCTTGTGTAACTAGAGAAAGCCCTTCTCTGAGAGTTTATAGTGAACAGAATGGCTTATTTTCACCCCCCTCTTACCACCCCCACCCCCGCCATTAAATGGTAAAGTGCTTCTCATCATCAACTGTTACCCTGCCCGGTTCTCCAGGATGTATTAACTATTCTAAAGCAAAATAGTATACTCACAGGCTATTATTTGTAGAATTTGAGCCTTTAACATAAGATTAAATTACAAAAAAAAAGAATATATAATTATGTGTGATGGTGGAAGAACAAATTTTGAGATGGATATTGAAGTACAAAAGAGTGAAATGACATATCTGGACTTTTTAATATATCAAGTCTAAAGGGAAAGTGGGTACACCAAACAATTGCAACAAAATTTTAATAATGTCTGAGACTTGGTTTTGGCATTTAAGTCCTTATTGCCGTGTTCTCTACTTCTTTGTATATCTGAAATTGTTCATAATTGTTTTAATGCATATGGATACGATACAGATACTGGCTTAGCCAAGGTAAAACAGGAGAATTAAACAGTCATCTCTTGACAAGAAACCATCCTCATTACACAAGTCTAGATTTTGCCTTCCTTTTTTTTTTTTTTTTTTTTTTTGACATAGAGTCTCACTGTTGTCGCCCAGGTTGGAGTGCGGTGGCGCGATCTTTTTGTATTTGTAGTGGCTAATTTTTGTATTTGTAGTGGAGTGCTTTCGAACTCCTGACCTCAAGTGAGTCTCCCGCCTCGGCCTCCCAAAGTGCTGGGATTACAGGCGTGAAACCACCATGGTCCTAGATTTTGCCTTCTTTATGTAATAATCTTTAGTGTCCTCAGAGTCCCTCAAACTGATGTCCCTGAATTTCATAACCATCAAAGTTATCTAGCCTAAGTACAAAGTTTGGTTTTCCTGAGAACTTAAGTATCTCGGAGATTGAGTCTGTTCTTCTCCATGAATGTATTACAGAAACAAATTGAGGAACATAACTCTCAGATATTAAATTTTTCTGTACTACACACACTCATTTTTCACTTCACACCCCAAGAGCTCCCTGTTTAGTCACCATACACTTCCTTTTTTTTTTTTCTTTGCTTGACCTTAAGGACTGTATTCTTTATGCATTTCTCGATCCAGGCATGGCAGTTCCTCTTTTCCTGTACATATTCACACTCCTGCCACTTCTGCCCTTTCTCTTATCCCTCTGCTTTTCACCTCTGACTGTAAAAAGAAGTAGTAGTTCTGAAAGCAAGAGTTCCCTATGAACACTGGAAGGAAATATTCATTGCATACTTGAGTGTTTAGGAGCTAGAGGGATTGAGAGAAAAAGTTTGTGACTGACTTTCTAGCTGGGCCTTTATAATATATATGATGTGCTTTTCCTTTTTTGTTTCCTCTTTCTTTCTAACAGAGACTACCCAGTAAAGAACTACCAGATTCATCATCTCCAGTTCCAGCAAATAACATCCGTGTCATCAAAAATTCCATTCGACTGACCCTTAATCGGTAAAAGCAGTGCCTCCTCACTTAAGTGAACAAAGCAGTCATTTAGTGGCATAGATGCAGCCACTTGTTTTCAAATAGAAGTGGCTGTCATACGTGAAATAAAGTGAACGTTACAGCCTTCAGCCTAATAACCTTGAAGTGGTTTTTGAACTATCACACTTTGACCTGCAGATGCTGTAGCATTCTCTCACTGATTGCTACATACACTTCTCTGAGGATCACCTGCTGTCAAATTGCCATCTACAGTATTACAGCTTTGCATTTGGGGGTTTTACTGCCTTAACTTTCAATGCTTGTTATGGGAACCAGTTCTTAGCCACTTGGACACTGATAACAAGTCCTGAACTCCTTTTTTTTTTTTTTTTTTTTGTTTTTTGGGGTTTTTTTGTTTTTTTTTTGTCTTATGTTGTGATCATTGTATAGAGCTAAAAAAATTGAAAACAAACAAAAAAATTATCTTGTATTTTCCAAATGTTAATACATTTACTTTAGCATTGAAGCCACTTTGTGAAACCTGAGATAAATGAATGTGAGGTATCTTTTCTGCTTTCCTCATTTGTGTAGATGTACTGTCTGTTCTGTTGATTTAAATTATTTTTTTCCAGATTGGCACATGAAATATTTAAACTTTTTTGTGTGCCTTTCTATCCAAATGTTGCATAGTTAGCAGGGAAGATTAGTCCAGTGATTACAGAAGAGTTGGGCACCATAAATTCTTTATATATTGCCTCCCATGGAGGCCTTTGAAATGCATCTTTATTAAAAATCAAAATATAACCAGGATACTGAAAGTCAGTATATGAATGGTAAAATTGTTACATATCCTATTTCATGCCATTCTTGTTAGTTGACTGGTGTTTTTTACTGAGGAGCAACTCATTCCAGCATCAACAATAAGATACCTTTAAGTATGGCAAACTTGTATTTTTGAGGTGTAAAATTAACTTGGCATGATAATTCCTGACCATTATTTATGCCACAACTTCAAATAGTTTCTTCACGGACTAGGCATGCAGAAATAAGCAGTGGATTTTATTGAAACCTAAAGGCATTTTGAATGACATTGTTACCAACCATTAATTGGCTCAGGACCTTTGTAATTTTTATTTAACTATATGAGTTGTCTTTTTTTACGCTGCTTTTTTCAATGCATTTCTTAATATTTTTTAAGTTTCATGAATGCATGCTCAGTTTATTAAAATCCATAACCATGTAATTCTTGTAATATGTTGATTCAGTGTTTTGTAAATGAAGTCGTATGTATTTTCAGAGTATTTTTGTATGTACTGTAAGATACCATCTTTTCAAAGAGAAACGTTTAAAACCTTTATTGTCTCTCCTTAGTCTAATTTTTTAAATATGGATTATGCTTGAATTATTATATTTAAAATGAAAATGTGTAAGATTACACAGCCAGGAATGCTAGTATCTACCACCACCTTCAGATTTCACTCAGCATTTAGTAGGTCCAGTAGGAAGAACCCAAAATGGTACATTGAGTAGTGTGGGGAAGATACTTCGTGTGTTATAGGACTCACGGGATGCCATCTAGCAAGTGGAGAAATAGCAGTCCATTTTCTCTTGCAAGCCCTTTACCATTGAGTTGAAATTCTTGAATTGCCAGAGAGCCGTATCCTCCAGGTCCCACTCCTGTTCCTTGCCCCTTAGGTCTCTGAAATGTAAATTCTAATGTTTACCTTGTACCATGGAAAACATGAAAAGAGTCTTAGAAGTAAAGAACAACAAGGAAAAAATGTTTGTTCTATTATTCCCTTTTTATATAGCAGCAAAAGATAAGAATAAAATCACATAACCAAGTTGTAGCTTCCTTGGCAAAGCTGTTGTCTTAGCTGACTCTTTCCCTTTATTCAGATGTGTTGGGATTTGTTCTACAAATACTTTATTTGAGCAAAAATGAATGATTATGAAAGAACTGAATAATTATCACCTGACTTCAACCTTTGAAAACTTTAGTAAGGAATTTGATTAAATTTTATATACTTGATGTGTATGCATTTCTGCTTAATATCTCTTGCTTTTAAATCAGCCTTCAGAGTATCTTTAGGAATTCCTTCTATATCCATGTTTACCCTATTACATAAATAGATTCTTTGGAGTGACTAGTAGAGTTTTTCTTTAATAAGAAAGCAGCAAGTCTAATCTTGTACTATAGGATAGGCATTTATTTTAGATTAAGGAGCCCATTCAACATGTAAATGAGTCAACATTAGAGTCCTCAAAGATAGCATTCTTCAACCTGTTTGGTAACTGAGGAGTTGACAAAATGCTTCTGAGATGTTGGGGTTTGTCAGAAATAAAATGTTTTCTACACTGACCAGTAGGTAGAACTTTGAGTACATTTCGTTAACTTGGTGGGAAGCTTCCATTGTACTGGTTCCAAGTGAAAAAGGAGAAAGTATGATCTGGGATTTTGTGTTTGATCAGAGGCACTAAGTACATGTGTTTGTTTTGTTGTGTTTTGTTTGAGATGGAGTTTCACTCTTGTTGCCCAGGCTGGAGTACAGTGGCACGATCTCGGCTCACTGCAACCTCTGCCTCCCAGGTTCAAGCGATTCTCTTGCCTCAGCCTCCCAAGTAGCTGGGATCACAGGCGCCCACCACCGCGCCCAGCTAATTTTTGTATTTTTAGTAAGACAGGGTTTCGCCATGTTGGCCAGGCTGGTCTTGGAACTCCTAACCTCAGGTGATCCACCCACCTCGGCGTCCCAAAGTGCTGGGATTACAGGCGTGAGCCACCGCACCTGGCTGTGTTTGTTTTCAAGTGTGAAAAAATACCTAGAAGTATATTTTATAAAGTCAAATAATCTGTTCTTCAGTATATAGACAGACACATGTTCATTTTCACAAGGGCATTACATTTTAATTTGCTCATTTTTCAGTAGCTCTGGAGAACATGTATGAAAGGAAAACAGTTATCTTCTAGCTTAAACCTTAGGGACTTAACCAATTTAAGATAGAGGTACATGGCTTAAAACTTTGTAAAACTGGGACAGGAGAATGATTTTTTTTTTTTTTTTTGGAGACAGTCTCACTCGCTGTCACCCAGGGTGGAGCACAGTGGCATGATCTCACCTCACTGCAACCTCTGCCTCCCGGGTTCAAGTGATTCTCTTGCCTCAGCCTCCCAGATGGCTGAAATTACAGTCCTGTGCCATCATGCCCGGCTAATTTTTGTATTTTCAGTAGAAATGGGATTTCACCACGTTGTCCAGGGTAGTCTTGAACTCCTGACCTCAAGTGATCTGGCTGCCTCGGCCTCCCAAAGTGCTGGGATTACAGGCATAAGCTACCACGCTTAGCCAGGAGAATGAATTTTAAAAGTCTGTATTAGTGTTTAAAATGAGTGCTTTGTTTTAAAGCAGCAATTTAGTAGCATTATTAAAATGCTTACTTCACTATAGTAGCAATTAGGTAAAGATGGGCAATATCAAAATGGCTAAACTTATTTTCCACTATATTCCACACCTTTGAAATAGGAATTCCTAACTTGAGAATCATGAACCCTTAGGGAATCCTTTGTAATTATGTATAAGAAGTTCTAGTTTACAAAAAAAAAAAAAAAAGTTCTAGTTTACATGGATTTTTCTGGGGGGAAGTGTATAGTTTAGATCAGCTTCTCGAAGTGGTTCATTACCCCAAAAAAGTATGGGAGTTAGGGTTAGGAACCACCAGGATTGAATAATCCTGGAATATTACATAATTTCCTCCTTTTGATTTTGCTGTGATATATTTCTGAAAATGTGCTGTGGCTCCTAACTAGTAAAATGGGCTGGTGAGGGACTCTGGAATTCTGAATTTCTAAGTTTATAACTTAAGATGAAACTGTAAAGTCCTCGGTATTTAGAAAAATGCTTAATCTTAAATTTACAGATGACCTCATGATAACTTAGATTCGTTAACAGGGTCAAACTTTAGTTCAGCAAATTTCAACCCAATATTATCAGAGTACAATAGCTCAGAATGATCATTAGAAATGGTAGAAAATAGAATAAATCATTAAAGATCCCAAAATGTTGAGTTCTGTAGCATGAAACCTCTTTTGCTCCTCTGTGTTTGTAGTTCAGGCCAGAACAAACTAAACAGACCAATAAATATAAGAGCGTTCGTTTTTGGGGGGATGGAAACTTGTATAAATAAAATTGTACGTGTTGTCAAATAACTACCTATTAAATCATCCAAAGCTTAGAATTTAAATTGGTCAAAGTAGCAAATAGTGCAGATGATGGAAGAAAACTAGTCTCAATAATGGTGTTTTTTTTTCCCCCCAATTGTACAAGGTCACATCATCCCCCAAATTCTCTATTTTTTCTTTTCTTTTTTCTTTTTTTTCTTTTTTTTTTTTTTTTGGAGACGGAGTCTCGCTCTGTCACCCAGGCTGGAAGGCTGGAATGCAGTGGTGCAATCTTGGCTCATTGCAACCTCCACCTCCTAGGTGCAAGCGATTCTCCTACCTCATCCTCCCAAGTAGCTGGGACTACAGGCACCCACCACCACACCTGGCTAATTTTTGTATTTTTGTAGAAACGGGGTTTCAACACGTTGGCCAGGCTGGTCTCAAACTCCTGAGCTCAAGTGATGCACTTGCCCTCGGCCTCCCAAAGTACTGGGATTACAGGTGTAAGCCACTGTTCCTGGCCCCTATTTTTTCTGAAATAATTTTTCGGATATACTTTAATATTTGAAATTAGTTGAACATAAGATGATCATCAAGCTTGCTATAATTTTTAAGCTATTGCTACATTTGAACGAAGACCCACGTATCTTAGAAAGTACTTAGGATATCTTTGAGATTAATGGTGCTACATCACTCCACAGTACTATGTAAAATGAATGCAGCTGCTGTTCCTTTCTAGCTAGCTGTTTGTGTAGTTCATATTTATTTACGCTGCCTTTTATTTGGATTGTCTGATTTCTTAGTTGTACACATGAACCTCATTATTTGCCTGGAATAAGTAATCAAATAAACTTGCTTTGATAAATAGGTGATGATTGAGTGATGTTATTTGGGACTAACTCAAAAGTACCAGAAGTCTTTACTTTTCAGTGACAACCAATTTTGTCATTTACCACTCAGACTCTTTCTGGTAGATAATGGTATCTACTACACACTTAGTATGAATGCAAAGCCCAGACCTAATTTGCATCACACACAATTGCATCACACAATTTATTAAACGTTTATCAGCAAGCAGTGGCACAACAGTTTATACAATCTGCTCTGTAAGCTTAATGGAGTGTCCCAGCTTTCTCTCCCTTTTGGTGATCTGACCACCCTTTCATGAAAGGGCCACTTGAGGTGTCTGTGTCAAGCGCTAGGGACAAAATTCTGTCACCCTTCTGATCAGGATCAGGCAATCAGGCCTCCGTACTAATAATGGCTGGACACAGGATCAAGTTCTGGGTACTATCCATACAAGTACAGGTTACAGGGCTGGTTACATTCTTAAACCGCTTGTAAGAATGGACAGTGACTGGTGCTGAATTCACAAATAAGACCTTGTGTCTGCATCGTTAATATTACTAGCAAGCTGTTCATGTCACCAATGGAAACACATTTGACATTTATTAAGCTAATTGGCAAAGTCTGTGTTGATTGAGCTATGGATAACAAGGGCTTCTAATAGTCACTTGTGAAGTGTGGGCTTCTTGATTGGATTGCTAGCTGGCCACCTCTGGAGTGTAAATTTCTGATAGAGGCAACTCACTGCTTCTAGGACATAACATACTAACGCAATTACCATGCTGTGATAAAATGTGTTCTAAAGTCAATTAACATCATGACAGGTTCTTTGTGGATCCAAATGTGTTACAGTAAAATGTATTGGGGTGGGGCGCAATGGCTCACACCTGTAATCCCAGTACGCTGGGAGGCCGAGGCAGGTGGATCATTTGAGGTCAGGAGTTCAAGACCAGCCTGGCCAACATGGTGAAACCCCCGTCTCTACTAAAAATACAAAAATTAGCCGGGTGGCAGTGGCATGCACCTGTAATCCCAGCTACTCAGGAGGCTGAGGCAGAATCGCTTGAGCCTGTGAGGCAGAGTTGCCGTGAGTCAAGATCGTGCCACTGCACTCCAGCCTGGGCAACAGAGTGAGACCCTATCTCAAAAATAAAAAATAATAAAATATATTGGGCCAGGCATGGTGGCTCACTCCTGTAATCCCAGCACTTTGGGAGGCTGAGGCGGGTGGATGGCCTGAGGTCAGGAGTTCAAAATCAGCCTGGCCAACATGGTGAAATTCCGTCTCTACTAAAAATACAAACAATTAACCAGGTAGTAGTGCTGTGCACCTGTAATCCCAGCTATTT